ATGTTTCTTCTACCTCAATTTTATCTCATATAAAGTGGGGATCATATCATCTTACTTCATACCTCACACCAAACAAATAAATCTCCTCTTATCACAATTCTCTTTTGTATAAGGTGGGGACCACATCAATACATCATTTTTTACTTCTTAAACAAATAAAACAAAGTCAAATATGAAACAAAAGTAAACCAGAATTGTACATATATTTCATCCTATATGTACTCCCATGCATTAACACTAGGGCTGTCTGGTCCAATCCAATCCAGTCCATTATAGATGGACTAGGTCCAGTCCAATCTGATGAATACTTTGGACTAGGGTTGTCAAGGAGTTGGGTCCAAGTAGAACTAGAGCCAATCCAATAAGAAATATTAAGGATCTGGAACCAAAACAGACCCTAATTTTAGACCCAAAACCAAACTAATCAGTTCTCATGACAATTGGGTCTAACTCAATTATAATAAAACCTATTGCAAATATTATATATATAAATAAATATATATATATATATATAAAGAGGGGTCCCAAAACACCTATAAATAGGTGTTTCTCAGGACCCAAAAGATACGGTACGATATTGCCCGATATAGGGTGTATCATATTGAAATTTTGATCCTTGCCTCTAACTCAGTTCAGGACTAGGTAGAATCGGTTCCAAATTTATAATAATTGGGACAATATATAACTAGAACCGACCCATCAGTACCGAATCCTAGAACTAGAACCAACCAATCGGTTTGGATCCATCAAGTCAGACCCGATCCATTGATAGCCCTACTTTGGACCATTTTGGTCTAGTCCAATTCAATGTCTAAACTGTCCAATCTGTTCAGATTGGCTTTAATTTAAATTGGTTCCAACCCAAAGTTGGTCCATTGACCAGACATTGGTTCAATCCAACCCAATCCAATCTAAATCCATTATGGATAGACTAGGTCCAATCCAATCTAATAAATACTTTAGACCATTAAGTCTGGAGTGGTCCAACTCAATGTCTTATTGAATCCAATCCATCCAAATTGATTTTGATTCGGATAGGATCCAACCCAAAATCAATCCATTTATATTTGACACACCTAATTAACATCAATGCAAAACCAACTATACCCTAAGTTTGAGAGATCATATTTCGTTCTAACAAAAAAAAAATGGTTGTTACACTACTTTTAGCCATGTATTGAAAACATCTCCTTGCTTGTATGTTTTCATTCGTGAAAAGATATTCCAATGCACGATTGAGAGGTTTGTGAGGTAGATGTGAAGACCAATTTTGTAATGACGAAATCAGAACTCTATTTGAGGGTCTCAGAACTGCATTCAGGTGTGTCCATAAATCAAGACGAGCACTAAATTAGAGAACAGATAGAACAGCATACATATATACTATATACATAAATGGAACTGCAAGGAAATGTCATTGTTAATGAAAAAAAATGGTTTCTTCTTTTAATCAACCAAATATTTTTTTCCTACAACCCGTTAGTTTTGCATTAGAGATCATTGGTGGGTGTTTGGCACCGAAAATGCAGAGTGTTCCTTCTGCGAGTTTGTCATATCAAAAAATAAAAAATAAATAAAAACGGAAAATACTATTTAAATCGCATTAGCTTTGAATCACCAAAATGATCGAACACATTAAAAAATAAAAAAAGCTTTGTATTTTTCGAAGAAAACAAAGATAGCGTCCAGAAGCTTTGCAAAGCGCATGATCGGTGCAAAACACCAAGCGATCAGGTCAAAACTGCCGGCAGAACATTCATATCTTCCCTGGTTTTTTCCGGCAATTTTTTATCTATGCCAGCGGTTTCTGACATTTTCCTACAGCTGTATACTTAACAAGGGCAGATTGGTACTCACAAAATTTGTATGCATTTGAAAACATCTCCATACTTTCTTTATTTATGGATAGATATTCCTAATGCTGTAGAATGGTATGAGCACAATTTTATAAGTTCATAAACCTAACACTAGATATAAGTTATACCACCGACCACCGGAAAATGTTGAATTTTCCACAGTATATGCCTCAAGTTTCAATAACATTCCAATATATTTAATCCTGTGTGCTGGTCAAAGGCTCAAGCCTCAAAGCTACCAAATTGTGACGACCATGCAAGTTGCAACATATCCCATATATTGTGGGGCCAAATCAAACACTACTTAATGGATTATTTAGGTTATATTTGGGGGAAAATCTATTCTGCCCGATAGACATGCATGATATTAGAAGAGTTTGACCTATCCAAACCCTCTTGTGAATTTTGATGCATATCCCCTAATTGTTTTAGCTTGTGATGTGTAAAATTTAGTTGAAATACCATTTATTTTTAAAACACAAATATTATTATTTGTATATGAATCCTAATTGATGAAAAATGTGTGTTTTTCATCCATGTTTTCATCACATTAGCGCATCAATCAAAGTATTGAGACTTTGATTCCTAAGGCTGAGTTTGGAAAAAGTATAAATGCAAATCTGTACTGTATAAATACATACAAAATAATGCAAAATATAAGGTTTACACTCTACATATTTGTATTTGTATTCCTTCCAAATTGAGACTAAGGTTCAATTTGGAAAGAGTAATGTAAATATGTACAGTGTAAATACATATAAAATAATATAAAATATAAGGTTTTGCACTCTATATATTTATATTTATACTCCTTCTAAATTGAGCCTAAAGCAATGATACATGATTCAGTCATTATTGAGTAGGTTTCTTTCAAGTATTTTTGTTATTTCAAAAGCACGACAGAAGAGAAAACACACTTTACACTTGTTTTATGTATTTTAGATATTTACTTTCATACTTTCAAAAAATATATTGGACCCTTAAAATACTTTATACTTTCTAAAAACGTGCATCGACCACATGTGACATTTAAACTTCCACTATGTAATTGCACATATGGATGTTACATGACACTTGAATGTATTTAATGACATTATTTGCTACATGACAACATATATATGAATGCCACATGACATGTAAATGTATTTAATGACATGTTTGTATGTCACATGTCAATATATATGAATGCCATGTATTACTTAAAATATATTGAGTGACATGTTTGTGCCACATGGCAACATATATGTCATGTAGTAGTTGAATGTATCCAATGATACATGTGTGTCATGTGGTGGTATATATAGATGCCATGTGGTACCTGAATGTATTCATTGACATTATGTGTCATGTGGTGACATATATGAATGTTATGTGAGAGTATATATGAATATCTCATGGCATTTGGATACACCATGCACGTAGTAACACGTATGAATGCCACATGACATTTACACATGCATGTATAACATTTTGTTGAATCTAAACACCTTGAATTCATTTTACTTTTAAAGCATGTTTTTTAAAAGGGAAAATCTATGATGCAAAAAAGGAATCTGGATCTCCTACCCACAAAAACTCTATCCACGTCTACCCATAACACTCTATCCCCCGTGAATTAGGAACATCTCCCCCTGCATAATACTATGTAGAAGGATGAAATGTTCTCCATGTATGGCTGCGATATTATGTGGGTAGACGTGGGAAGAGTTTTTGCGAATAGGAGATCCAAATTCGCAAAAAAGTTATGATATGGAAAGAATTTTGACCAATCAAAACCCACCCATGAATTTTGACAAATAACACCTTATTTGCTACTATGTTTGTGATTTCAGTTTATTAATCAGTTGTTTTTCTGATATCATATCTTTTCCCTATCATAGTCGAACCCTTTTTAAAAATTTTCATCTAAATGCATTTCTTGGTAAAAGCATGGAAGCATTTGTACTTTATACTTTGTACTTTCGTACTCTAAAAAATATACACAAAGTCTACCCAAACATGACCAAAATTAATGTTTGTTAAAACAGCACCTAACATGAATTCTTATGATTCAGAAATGCCTATATGATACTGGTGTAGCGGTGTTTATACCTAAAACAAGAATAGTACAAAGCAGCTCCTTAGCCGTTCATTCAAGATCAAAAGGATTGAAAGTGCTTAAAAAGGGCCGCTTATCAACCAATTCAATGTTTCTAGTACCGATGTGCTCATGCATCGGGACGATGAATAATTTCTATGATTACTTTGAGATGAGTGTAAATACAAATATATACAATATATATAAAGTTTAGAAATATAGTATAGGTATAGACAAGATTTTGCACTCTATATATTTGTATTTATATTTATACTCTTACAAGACTCATTTTGATTAGGGGTGCAAATGGATTATATCATGATCCGATTTGATCTTATTTGGTCGAATTTGGATCACTCGTGTTCAGATCTTCAGATCAGATTTGGATCCCTCCATCCGATCCGATATATATATATATATATATACATGTTATTTATTTATAAATATATTTTTTATATTATATTTTTATAAATTTGTTATATTATTTATTTTTTATAAAAAACATGTATACATATGATGAAAATAATTAAAAAAAAATACTTCTATTTTTTATTTTTATTTTATTTAAATTAGTATATTTTATTTTTCTTCGAATAAATTATTAATTTAAAAAAAAAAAACAAGTCGACCAAATCCAAAGATTCAATTTACTGATAGGATTCGAATTCAAATAAAGTCCCATAAGATCCAATTGGATCTTCTGATCAGATCAGATCCGACATAAACATTATTAGATCGAATTCGAAAATACTTGATTTCGATCCGATCCGTATACAATCCTAATTTTGATAAAAGTATAAATATAAGATATATTTTCACTCTTTCTCCAACTGAGCATTAGGCTGAGTTTGAAAAGAATACAAATGCGAGTGCAAAAACTTAATGGGCCTGTTATGTCTGCACGAACACGGAAAACCAATAAAAGAATCTTCATCTTTTGTTGACTGTTTTTTGTTTTTTCGCTTCATCTTTTGTTGACTGTTTTTTTTTTTTCGCTTCATCTTTTGTTGACTTCTTAATGCCGAAATATCATAGATTAAGTGTGGGTTGGTAACTCTACGCTATGGCAGTGCATGTTAGCGTCACGAGGCAGACACTTACACCTGCTTTTAAAAAACGCGAGAAGCTTTGAGCTTTCGTGAGCTCTTTTGGTTCGCGGAATTCTTTTTTATTTCTGGGTTTGGCATTCTCGTCCTCCCGCTATGGCTCAGGTATTCAAATTTATTCAAAATTTTTGCTTTTCTGGTTTTGCTCTCTCCTTTGGTCGATTGTTTTATTCTAATAACTAGGTTTTTGGATTGAATTTGTGTGGAATTGAAGACAATTGTTTATAGGGATGATCTTTTTGCGGGGAATTGTGAAGTTTAAAGATCTAGATCTTATTACCCTTCTTCAATTGCGTCTTCTCTGATAATTTGGGTGTTTCTTAGATCCAAGTTAGGGTATTTAATCTTGCACGTATGATCGCATTCATGGTTATGTTATATTTCGCACGAAAAATACCTGTTCTGATGTCTGTTGGATTCAAAATTGTCGACCTTGGTTAGAACCATGCGTCTGAGTCACCTGAATTGTTTGTTTATTCCGTTTTTCTGGTGAAGAAATACCTTTTGTCCGGTGATCATCTTGAACATCTTAATTTGGATAGTGCCTCGCTGTTGGGTTCAATCATTCTATTTCATTAAGTCAGGTTAGGTTGTCTATCTTTCGTTTTTCTTGGTTGTCTTGCATTATTGTTATTTGTGCTTAGCGTAATGAAATTCTCTTTTACCAAAAAAAAAAAAAGAAAAGAAAGAAAAAGATCTGGGTTTGTTAGTTTAATTCAAATTCCTTGTGTAATGGAAAATCCACTGACTGATACCTCCGTTGGATCTCTTGTGACTTAAAGGGAAGTTTCGGGGTTGGAAAATTCCCTGCCTGTTGTGTTCCTTTTGTGGCATATTATGAAATTAACATGGTCAAACCGCCTTGGAAGGCAGTTATCGGGCAACTGTACATAACATGGTCATTGGTTCATTGGTGGGGGTGACATCATGGGAAGGTTGCTTATCGAAAAAAGCAAACACCCTGGCAGGTTGATGTACATCTTTCCTGGGGTGTAATGCACAATTTCAGTCCAGATTCAACGGCCTTGAATTGCGCCATTAGAGGGGTTAGTGGCCTACCAAATAGGTGGGGTGGTGAATAATTTAATGTGATTACAAGGTCTATAGCTGTTGGACTTAAATTTAGACTGGTAAATAAAAAAAAAAAAAAAAGCCTGTAAGAATTGGTTTTGTAGGTCAACTTTTTAATTAAAAATTTGAACTTCAACTACTAGAAATATCTGGGAAAAGGTCCAATATGTGGTGATTGCTACTAAATCCAACCTAACCTGACTTAATGAAATAGAAAGATTGAACCCACCCCAAACTACTAGGGCTCCCACTTCCCACTTATGCCAACCCGTGAACAGTACCCCTGTTAGTGAAGGTTATAATTATAAATTCTTTAGTTTCACTATATTACCTATGATAATATTTCATTCTAAATATCTGTCACTTTTTGCGTATTCATAAGAGTTTCATGATAAACATAGTTTCAAGTTACATAGCCAATTGTATGAACAAAATCACAAGATACCTCTCTTAATGTCTCTATAAAAGTACTAAGTGACATAGCTCATCACAGGAGTATCCCTCTGGCTCTTAATAAGCAAAACAATAACATCACAGACACAGCACCTAGAACAAGACAGAAAGGAAACCAAAACTATGAATTAGGGATGCCAACTGGTCAGATCTGATATGGTTGTCTCAACCTGAACCTGACCCTAACCTAATGCAGGTCAGGTTTGCCTAACCTAAACCCAACTAAGGCTCCCCTGAGCCTGATCCAATAGGATCAGATCAAGGCAGGTTTACCGTTTAACCTGACCTATTGACGTCCCTAATCTTCCCTGCACATGGCTGAAATATGAGAAGAAAACTGTTGCTTAGAATGAAAGTTGACCAAGTATCCCTGCTTCAATGTTGCATCTATGGATATCATAATATTAAACATAGGCAACTTTATCCTTATAATTAAACCCTCCTTGAAAAAAGTATGAACTTTAAGTGTCTGAACTTGGCATGTCAATGCAGTTTAGATTTTTCAAGCCCTAAAAGAAAGCAATATTCATAAGTAAGTTGACATTTATGCCATAATAAGTATGGTAATTCTATACTGTATATTGTACCTTATGTTTATGGACTTGTAAGTAAAATTTTGATGATGTTTACTGGCTCTGCTTCTTTCCCCAACTCCTGAAGCAAGTTTAGTGAAGACACCAAGGGGTCTAAGATATCAAAGGATGTAAAATTTTGGTAATATCTATATATTCTGGTTCAACCAAAAAATAAAAGGAAATGAAAAAATAATTATGTTACTTTAGCTGCCTATAATCTTGTTTTGGGGGAGGTGGAACAAAAATAGTATGTTATATGTCAAATATATGTCATGCAATTTTAGGAAATATGGATGCATTACTTTAAAATCCATTGTGCTTCTCGGTCCAGTACATGTCCATTAGATTCTTAATTGGGATGAGCAGATGCAAAGTAATTTGGAGTAGCATTTTTTTCCCAGAAATAGGATATCAATTCATGCCTTTTATTCTTCAGATGCTTCTTTAATCTGTTGCATCTTTAGTCATTTCTGCAAAGAAAAGAACGAAGAAATGAACAGAAAAAATGTGTGTTTGTGTGTATACATACATTAGTACATAAATATTTTAGTAATAATGACTACCTAATCCACTGTTATTATTTCTAGTGCATTCCCATTATCTTCAGATGATGTATTAAAAAACTATAATAGAGGTATGCTAGATTGAGTGCTACCATTATGAAACTCAACTCTTTCATAGTACTTTTATTTCTACCCTAAAATTTATTTTGGTCCCAAATGCAGACAGTCGTCCTCAAGGTTGGTATGTCCTGTGAAGGCTGTGTGGGTGCCGTGAAGAGGGTTCTCGGCAAAATGGAAGGTTGGTATTAGTCTTCACCGCCAGTTGCCACCTTTATTTTTTTCTTAAAATATTGCACCTGGATAAGAGATTTCAGTGTACTATCAAAAATTGAGTCTTATTATTTCTAAAATCATTTGAGAAATGGCAGAATAATTGTGAGGACTGAAATCGATGCTTCCAGAGACTGATGAGAACGAAATAGCTGATTATCTTCAAAATCCCAGTAGAAGTGTAATGTTTGTGTGCATTGGCATGCATTCATGGACATGGTTGAAATGGGACTTGACTAAGAAGACTGAATTTGATCATTTTATTTGCCAGTAAATAGAGTATCACTAATGCTTTTGGCTATCCAAATTCTATGCAAAACATTTGGATTTAACCAAAATAGAAATATTTAAAATTGAAGGGGGAAGAAAACTATTCTTGACCTTGCTGACTTGCATTGGACAGTTCAGCTAGCATTCATTTTCTTGCTTTTATATTGATGAATGTTCCCATTAATTAATAGCTAACTTGGAACTGTTGAACATGTGCTTGGATGTAACTGCTTTGTTCCTTTTGGTGTTCGAAACCATATTTAGGTGTGGAGTCATTTGACATTTATTTGAAAGAGCAGAAAGTGACGGTAAAAGGCAACGTTCAGCCTGATGCAGTTCTGCAAACCGTCTCCAAGACAGGAAAGAAGACTTCCTTCTGGGAAGAGGAAGCTCCAAAAGAAGCACCAGCTGAAGCTGAAGTGAAGTCCACAGAAACTGTTACTGTTCCTTGATACGCTCACCCCTATTCTTATAGTTAACTAAAAGTCTGTTAATGGGTTAATCTGGTGAACATCTTACATCCATGTGTGACCACAACTGTTTAGGTGGGAAATATCTGGCATTTTCTGCATGTGTTATTATGGTATCTCTGTACCTTTAACTTTAATATATGAAATATTTGCTATAGCCTATAAAGGGAAATTTCAGTTTTCCCCCTCTTGATTTTCTGGACCTCCATGAAATTTCTGCTTCTATACCAGCGAAGGGAGCATTTAAAATTTTAAACCGTCGGACCGGTATTTGCGTTGCTTAAGAAGAGGTTGGTCCTTAAACCTTTTGCCCGTGTAAAATCCAATGGACCAACCCAGTTGCGGGTGGGTTGGCTGGACTCGGATTGGGCCCGTCCAAATTGCACCCCTGTATGCTATAGCTTGTATTTTTGTCTTTCTGATCAAAGTTGGTCAAAACTTCAAACGTTCCATCTGGGTTGAGAATTAAATTGTTATTTGTCAACATGTTTGGATGGCAAGTGACATGAAATCGTTTCATTTTATAATAGTATAAGTGTATAACTTGCCACCGTGTCACATAGGTTGAGCCTCCATCAGATGATGAGCCTTCATTGGAAGATCATCTTTGCCGAAACATCAGCTTACAAAATGCTAAAATCCTCTGACGTCAACTACTCAACTGCATTTTATTGACGAGAGAAGTTGCTCTAAAAGTTGCCATTCAGCAAAAATGTCTAAATCCTGAAGCGCTCGGTGACGGTGAGATTCTGGACGGAATGATGAGAATCGCAATGAGTGGTGCGACTCATTCTCAATCCTCTACTGAAAACCGGTTTAAGTTTGTGACCAGGAACATTACTGAATCCAGCAGGTCAATCCCATAATGTTCAAGGGAACAAAGGTCTTCAAAATGGGTTTGACTAATAATGCCTTGAACAGGGAGCCAGCTCTGAAATCCAAATGAAGAAAACCTACCATCCACTAGAAAGTTAAGATTTGTCTTATTATTCCCTCGTTAAGCTTTCAAGATATTTAACCGCCCAAATCCTTCTGCCGATTTCAAGTTCTGAAGACATGGCTTTCAACCACCTTCTGCGTGTATTTGGTGAGACTGGATGCGTTCTCAAAGGAAGAACTGTCCATGCCATGATTATTACATCTGGGTTTTCCCTTGATGTTTATACCAGCAATCATTTGGTCTCCATGTACGTCAAATTCGGACGCTTCGACGATGCCCGACGCCTGCTCAATCAATTGCCTGATAGAAATCTGGTTTCTTGGACAGTCTTGATTGCCGGGTATTCTCAGGCTCGATTTGCAGAGGAAGCGCTGGATTGTTTTAGATCAATGGTTGCCGAAGGTATCAATCCGAACCATTACACTTATGTCAGTGCTATCTCCGCTTGTGCGAACACTGGAGCTGCTCGAACTGGTAAGGAAGTTCATGGAAAGATCTACAGGACCGAGCAAGAACCGAATAGCTTTGTGGACAATTGCTTGGTAAATCTATATGTCAAATGTCGTCTGATGAAGTCGGCTCAACTAGTGTTCGACTCAATTCTGGAACCAAATTTAGTTTCTTGGACTTCGCTTCTTTCAGGCTATTGTCAGTGTGGGGACAATGAGGAGGGCTTGAGGATCTTCTTACAATGTCGCAGAGCTGGTGTGAAGGCTAATGAATTCATATCTGCAAGCGTATTGGGTGCTTGTGCTGCTCTAGAAAATTTGGAGGCTGGGATGCAGGTGCATTCTGAAGTTGTAAAGTCTGGAATTGGATCAGATCAGTTCATTGTGACGGGTATTATCCACTTATACGCAAAGTGTGGCAAGTTGCAACTTGCTCGCCAGGCTTTTCTGGAGTTGGAGAAGCCACCATTGTCGTCCTGGACTGCCCTAATAGGAGGATGTACCCAACAAGGAGAGGTTAAGGAAGCCATTGATCTGTTCCAGAAGTTGCACTCTTTGGCTATCAAACCCAGTGATCACACATTTTCATCCATTCTCGGGGGCCTGGCTGATGCCATGGCAATTGAAGAGGGGAAACAGATCCACTCTTTCATCATAAAATCAGGGTTTAATTCAGTTACTTTTGTTGTCAACTCTATACTGGATTTGTACTCAAAGTGTGGGCTGCTTGAGGAATCATCCAAGGTTTTTGAAGAAATAAAGGGGAAAGATGTGGTCTCGTGGAATGCCATGATATCTGGTTACATTAAACAGGGCAAATTCAAAGAAGCCATAGAGCTTCTGGATAAAATGGTGCTTGAAGGCTTGAACCCAAGTCCTTATACTTATTCCAGTATTTTGAGTATTTGTGGCACCATTCCAGCCATAGAGTGGGGCAAGCAAATCCATTGTTGCATAATAAAACCAGGATTTGATACCAATGTGGTTGTTGGGAGCTCACTTGTGGACATGTATGCCAAGTGTGGGAGGATAAGCGATGCCCAGAAAGTTTTCAATAATCTGACTTCTAAAAGCTTGGTCTCTTGGAACACCATGCTTGTTGGATATGCCCAACATGGGTTTGGCAGGGAAGCTTTGGAAATTTTTGAGGAGATGCAGAGGGAGGGGATTTCTCCCAATGATATAACATTTCTTGGAGTGTTGTCTGCCTGCGGGCATGTTGGTAATGTGGAGGAAGGGTGGAGACATTTCAATTCCATGATCAGAGACCATCGCATTGTTCCGAGGATCGATCACTACTCATGCATGGTTAGTCTCTTAACTCGCAAGGGGCAGATTCGACGAGCTTATGAGTTCATAAAGGGTATGCCCATGGAGCCGGATAAGGTCGTTTGGCGCTGTCTCTTGGCAGGATGCAAGGCTCAAAATGATTTGGTTGTTGGAAAATATGCAGCTGAGAAAATTTTGGAAATTGATCCAGAAGATGCTTCAGCTCATATAATGCTGTTTCGTGTATATGCAGGGGCAGAGATGTGGGACGAGACGGCTCAAGTGAGAAAGAGAATGAAGGAAAAGGGGTTGAAGAAAGATCCTGGGCATAGTTGGATTGTGGTGAAAAACAAGGTAACTTCTTTCATTGCAGGTGACAATGCACATGTTCATGGAGACAGTTTGCATGAGGTCGTAAGTAGATTGACGAATCAGATGATTGATGCTGGATATACACCTAATTTGCGGTTCTCGCACCCATCTGTAGAGTGAAGAATCATAGGATGGAGAGAAGGAAAAAAACAAAAGAAATGGACAGGAAAAAGCATTTATAACTCAGCCTTTCAGTGAATCATGTATCGCAGCATCTCTTGCTTAGGCCTATTGAGATTTAGTTGATTGCTATCTAATTCAGAAAAATTAATAACAGTGGACGAACACAATTGAAGGTAACGCAAAATGCTGCATTCCTAGATTCCCAGAGACAGAATTGATATGTTGTAAATAGAGGGGTAATTTACATGCAGTGATAGCAGTCGGGGGATGATAACATAAAAGAGTTTGTCTAGACGATAGATGTCCTATCCCTATTAGAGAAACCGGAGATGGGACGAGGTGAAGGTAAAACAAGACCGCCAAACTGTCGAGAAGACAATGGTGTGGGGGGAAGCCTTGGGGAGAGGTTCACAAATTCTAAGGCTTGTACCCTCAGTTCTAGAGGGTAGTCTGCAACACAACCAATCCTTGGACCAGCTCCCGTTGACCATTTTAACGAGAGTTGATGACCCAGCTGATATGAACTTGCTGCTTTCTTGGAATTGATCCTCTGCAATATTGCTTTCTTGGGGACTTCTGCTCTTGGACTTCGGAGACCACCAGATAAGGTCCTCTTGTAAGTACCTCTGCTTTCAGTTTGAGCATCTTCAGTTTTTTCAGTTTGGGAAACTTCAGTTTCTTTGATGGGCTGCTCTTTCTCCACTTCAATGGAACTTTGAAGTTGTAGAGGTTCTGGAATTGTTGGGACTCTAGTGATCCCCTCTTTTGCTAATTTGTCTTCATTGTTGTCATAGTCTTCAGTAGAGGATTTTATCTGGAAATCATGGCAAACTCACAAGAATTACAAAGATGAGAAAATATAATCAACCAATTTTGGTGATATGACTTATAAACTATATACCTGAACTTCATTGATGTTGACTCCGTTATCCCCGAGGAAGGCTAGGAAACCATCAAGATTCTCATCAGTTGGGCGGTAATGCCCACTATATGCTGAGATAGACTGCAAACAAGAATCCAATCCTGAATCAGATGAAAAGATTGCTGACTTCATTTTGATATTGCAATTTAATGATAGAGGGTGTCGGGATGCTATTTTATTATTTCAGTGGAAGAATATGCAATTAAAAGTTTCCCAATTCAGCAATAAGTTGTAAATGACTGGAGGTGTTTTAACATTGGCAAACAATGTATTCATGTTTCTGTAATTTTACACTTTGGTTTCCAATTCAACATTCAAGTCAGTGTCACAAGTGGGCATGACTTGGCATCCCCATTGAAGCCATCTATTAATATTTCACGTCTACAAGGCAAACCCCTAATTGAACAGAACCCCAGACGTCCCTAAGGTCAAGTAGCATAGCTTTCGATGCAAATAGGGTTTTAAAGTTTTACATTTCTGCAGCCTCAAATTTTCTCAAATGTAAATAGCATTTGCCAACTTTCATAATCCCTAAGAAGATACATCATTCCAATTATGCCCCCAAGGTATCGCCCTAACATAAACAGTAGTTCAGAAAAGCAATATAATTGTGATATATCTTCTGTACCTTGAGCACTCCATTTTCAGCATCAAGTCTTCCAGCTGCCAAAGTAGTTCCTCCCGCAAGGAAGCTGGAATGATGAAATGACCCCTTCTCTTTCTAGATGGTGCAAACAATTAGTTAGTTTATAGGGAAGCAGAGGTAGTAAAGGAGATGGGATAGAAAAACTAAAAACATAAAAACAAAAAATTGCTTAATCATTTGTAACTAACCTTGCCAGAATAGAGTTTCTTAGAGGTGCACATCACAAAAATCCATTTTGCATCTCGTGATATACGTGTATCAAGAAATGTTTGTGTTTGTTTATGCACGATTTTCCCATTGACAACCAAGTATTCATAGTTTTCCCTCTCTTGCTGATTCCAATAAGAAGTCACCACAAAAAAGGAATACATAAATATTAGGTGCAAAGACCATTGAACTGTTAAAATTAACACAACCAAACTGCAAATCTATCTACTTTGCTCTAGACAAACAAATCACATACAGGTCCAAGGTATTTGATGCATTGTTGTCGAAGTTTAGATCTTGGGAATTCTTTGAGATCAACCTCTTTGCCATCTCCAATATCCAACCTGCAGCAAAATATTATTAAACATTGAAATACTTTAATTTGTGGTGATTTAATCGTTCTTATATTCTTGTACTGCGGAGCTCAGGAAGGCTATAACCAGTTACAAACCACCCGAAAATGGGAATAATTAGAAGAGCTTACTTAACACAAAAAGGAGAGGTATTTAAGAACAAAAAAAAAAAAATCCCTCTTGAGCAGAAATGGAATCCAGAGAGCTATTGTGACCCAGTATTTGAGAGAATTAGGTGGGAAGATTCCTGGGGTCACACTACCCCTCGTCTCTGTTAACCTTCTTTCTGTACAAAAAAAAAAAAAAAAGAAATAAAAGGAAAACAAATCCCTCCCTTTGGAATAATTTATAAGAGCCCCTTCAACAGGGAATTCAAGATCCTAAGCACATCTGAGTCCTATAACCCCAATCAAGCTGTTTCCACTTTCAATGGCCTCCCCATAGTGCCGAGCAGCAAACCTTTACATGACAACCAAAAAATTAAAAAAAAAAAAAAAAAGTATTGTGTTATAACTGTAGTGCCTGCACCCCAATCAAGCTGTTTCCACTTTCAATGGCCTCTCCATAGTGCCGAGCAGCAAACCTTTACCATAACCAAAAAAAAAAAAAAAAAAAAGTATTGTGTTATAACTGTAGTGCCTGCACACCAAGCGGGCTGTTTCCACTTTCCATGGCCTCCCCACAGTACCGAGCAGCAAAACTTTACCATGACAACCAAAAAAATTCAAAAAGTATAGTGTTATAAACTGTAATGCCTGCACTCTGGACTTCATATTCACCAGATTTTACTGTGACCTTACTGTAGAACATGTGCTATACTAGTGTCCAAGGATCATCCTTTTGATCCTGGGCAAAATGTTATTGCACTTGTTAGAGAGGAACATGGGCCTTTCAGGAAAAGGTTCAAGACAACAAATTCGAGCTCGTTCATATCATTATTAGCATTTAGTAAAAATATGACAGGAGATTATCGTATTAAAAGAACCCCTTACCTCTTATGTACTTAAAACCGTAAAAAAAAAGGGAAGAGGAAAACGAAAATCTATGCAACTCACCAGTAGAAGAATGGCTGGCCAGCATCTGTTTTACACCACTCTTCATAATAGATGTGCAAGCCGTGACCGTATCTATGTCGTGGATCGATCTGTAATAAAAAAAATTTCAAAATAAAAAGGAACTAAGAATATAGTCACCAGAATACATAATAAGCTCTACATGATAAAAAGGAAAAAAATATCAATCTTGAAGGGAGTAGAAATTTACAGCTTCAATCCAGTGCTGAAATGCTAATTTCTGAGCTTTGGCGTCTTTGGATAAACCCTTTCCCACCTGCCGAAGGTCAAATTATTTGATATAATTAGCTAAACCAAAAATTATTGGTTTACCAATCTTACTTTGGAGGAGAAACACGTAAAGGACAAGAAAACAAAGGAAATAAAAAACGACAGTAAAGTTCCCCTGTTTTCTGGTTGAAGAAAAAAAAAAGAAACACAACAAAGAAACACAACAAACCTTTGAAGCATTTAATCTGACTCGGTTCCATCGCGAAGCTGCAGTTTCCGGTTTCGAGAAGTTGAAGAACGAAATCGTACTGTGATTTAGCCGAGCAAAGTCGATAGCTTGCCACCTTCAGTTAAAATAGAAGAAAGAATCAACAGACAGACAGACAGACAGACAGAAGTTAGACTGTTAAAAGTACAAGGAAATTGGAGACCTACCAAAGCTCTTCAGCGACAACGGCGGAATCTGCTAACCTGCGCCGTGTACGATAACTCCTGTAAACTTTCTGCAGCTTCACGGCAGCTGTGGATTCAGAACTCGGGCCTCCATGACCATTGATTCCCGGCTGTTTAACACAGGGGCTCAAAACAACGGAGGTTTCCTGGCTCACGAAGCCATGGCCATTGGTCGCCGTCAATTTCTGAGCATGATCGGAAGCAGTCAACAGTTTAGAACTCTTGCATTCAGCAACATAAGCCGCTATGGCTTCTGTGTCACCATTCAAAGAAAGAGACGTTTCAGAGCTCCCGCATTCTTGAGAGCAGAGTTTTGACGACTCGGTCGCGAGATTCGACGAGCAAGGGAACGACGATTTCGACTGCAAATCGAAGCTGGCAAGTGACGGGGTTTCGACTTCCATTTAAGATCTTAACAAAGGTCCCAACTAAAACCCTAGAAGAGAATTCAGAGAGAGAGAGATAGAGGCAAGAAAGCTGTTGGTGAACTGAGTGAGGATGAGTGTCTCTCTGCTTCGTTGTGAGTATTTATTGTTGAATACTAGAATTTTCTTTAACAAAAATAATTTAAAAATTCATTTATTTTTATTTTTACATAGTTGGTAGTGCGAACTGCGAAGAACGCAGGAGATGGATTCCAGGTGGGCCCCACTCCGACTCAAGTCACAGAAGTGATCCTATTAGCCACTTTATCTGGCTACGCTGCTTGGCAGTTGAGCAGGTGGATTAATGCACGTAGCCTTATCCACGCATCTTCTACGGTCGATCTAGAATATTTTGTCATCACAGGTAGGGACCATAATCTCAACGTTCTATCAAACCGTGAGAGATGAGATGCATGGGCTGAGGCCTTGAGGGGACGTTCATCAATTCGACAGAGATAGGCGTCACCGACAGGGCGTGCTACGAGAATGACTTCTGCCCCGCCTCATGAAATTGCACAAACACCATCATTCCCGAGTCCCGAAGAGGCGAAGACCGACGGACACGAGTATTTACTATTTGGCATCGTTTTGTAGAATTACATATAGTGTCATCTTCTAGGCTATGAGTGCAAAACAAATATGTACGGTGCAAAATAGCACTGTTCCCAAAATGAACCACTAGGATGTCAAATTAGATAGTACTACGGTAGTACAGTATTAGACTAGGGGTGAAGCATGAGCTGCTCGGTCGGACCTGGCCAAGTCCTATGTCAATCATACCTAGGCCTAATTCTAGCTTAACTTAATATAATTTGGGCTGGGATTATGATTGCATTTTTGTACAATTATTAAAGTCAAACTTAGAAATAAAATGGATTGGAAATATGTATTAGTTACATCAACAAATACATATGTGCAAATATAATTAGAAATAGTATAATATATATATATATATATGTATATATTTGCAAGGTTCAAAGTATTGATACGTATTGACCAATATGTATCGTGTCAGTGGCTTCACTATATGCCCCTACAGGGGGTGTATTGGGGTTTTGACCGGTTTAGGGGGTGGAGGAGCCTTAACTCGACCCCTTGAATCAGTTTTGAAAAAAAATTAAAAAAAAGGCAAAAAACACTATTGATATCGCTCGATACACCCCTACCGACATATCGAGTGTATCAATATTTTGAACCTTGTATATTTGTTCCGACAATAATGGATTACTCAAGGCTTCAAACCAAGGCCAATTTAAGATTTTTAGTATGTGTTTGGGTGCAATGCAAATAAATTTGCACTGATGCAAAATCATAGCAGTGCAAATGATTTGAATGTAAACTCTCACCTATTTTTGTTTTAAATTTTAGTTTATTTTATTTAATTGCAATATAAGTGAAATAAATTAAAACATGAAGCAGAATAAAGTAAAACTCAAAACAAAATTAAATGAAAATTTACATTTTTTTCATTTGCATTCTCTTACATTTGCACTCATATAAATAAAATTGTATTTCAACTAAACACAACCTTTAACAGTTTGAATTTAGGTCAGACCCAAATTTTCTACGGAGAAGTACGGAAACACACGATGCAAAATTCTGAATTCCAGCCCCCTTCCCACTAGTAGCCCTTTCCCCTATAAACCACATCCTGCCTGTGAATTTGACATCAATTCACGGTCAGGATGCATTCCCCCTGTACTTTGGGACTATAAAATTTTGATCTAGGCTGATTAATCATTCTCCCAATTTTCTAACTTAGGCTTAGGCCGAAAGCTCAAGGTCAATGGGTTGGATTGGGTCACCCCGGTTGGGGCCTTGCCCAAATTGCACCTCTAATCAGTATGTTGGGTTGTGGTACTGGCCTAACCTTTTGGATCGGGTCAGTCTTAATCGGTTTTGGGGTCAGTTAACCCAACCCTCTGACATTGCAACATTGAGAGACTTTTGTGTATATTAGTTTGATTGAGTACAGGTGTGATATATATTATTTGGATTGGGTTCGAGCTAAGCAAACCTATCCGTTGCCATGTCTCTGGACACCCACGTGTCGGGTAGGCGGGTACAGATCTGTACCTAACCCTAATTTGTCCTTTTCTTTGACGTTGACTAAAAAATCTTAAAGATTTGAATTGATTAAATGGTTAATACGGATCAGCATTGACTCACCACCTTCCACATTTTGTCCCGTCCCGAACAAACCAACAGCCCCGAGTCCGAGTGTGCCCCACTTCAACCAACGATTCAACGTCATATTGGATTACATTTCCAGTTCTTTGCTAGCTATTAACGAAAGAAATGGACTGATTTCATTGTGGGTTTGCATTTTCTTTTGTTATCTAAAAAGGAATCATTTTTGAGTGGCGAGGAAAAGAAGAGAGAAAAAGAAGAAGAAGAAGAAGAAAAAAGCGAAATGGGAGAGAAGATAAAAGTCGAATTAATTTGGAAAGCTTGATACATGTAACTTCATTTCCATCTCTTCTAACAATTAGAAATGACCCATTTCGGATGAAGAACTTGTGCTTTTAAGTTCATTGAAAAAAGCAGAATTGCATTATTCAGTTTCAAATATTTAACCATTATTTTTATTGTATTTAATTATTATATATTAATCCTGTTCTATAATATTCCTCATTTAATAATGATATTTTCTGCACGTTTTCATGTAGGAGAAAAATAAGAATTTGTTCTAGATCTCATTTGCACAATTTTTTTTTTCTTTTTAAATCACTCTTTCTTTGCTCTCACCTACCAATCAGCCAGTAATGTTACCCACCAAAATAACAAACCAAGGTGGTATTAGATACAAGAGACCCAGACACATGCAAGCACAGGCTTGTGTTTAAAAAAATGTCAATATTACATTCAGTTTTTTAATTGAATTGATTGTGGGGGAGTTTAAATAATCCTATATTTATTTTTTTGCTTTTAAAATTTAAAAAATACAAAATTCTAAACAGGTTGAAAAATAATATAAAGAATCTAACATGGGCAATTGCATTTTAGAATATAGATAGGGATTAGTATTTTCCAACATGGACAATTGGATAAAAATATTTACATTTTAAAAAATTGACTTCACATGCATGCACTGCTAGGGGTGTAATCGAGTCGAGTCAAGCCGAGTATCAAGCTCCTCGAGCTTGAGCTCAAGCTCGACTCAAAAACACTAAGTTCGAAACTCAATTCGAGCTCGGTCAAATTTCATATATTTGGCTCAAACTTGACTTGAGTTTATACTTGCGAGTTACTTGAGCTGATTATAAATAAATTAATATTAAAAATTATAAATAAATCAATATTAAGTATATTAAAAACTATAAATAAATTAATATTATAAATTAAAACATATTTTGAAAATCAATTATAAATGTATTTATTTATATTATAAATAAATTAGTATAAAAATAGTGTTTATTTATATTATAAATACAAATATATTAAAAAATATATTATTTTATTATGATCTTGATTTGTCTCACGAGCCACTTGACTTGGTTATTGTGAAGCTCGAACTCCATTCAACCAAGTACTCGACTTGAGTCAAGCTTGACTCAAACTTGATTATGTGAGTGGTGAGCCGAACTCATGAGTAGTCTCGGCTTCCCATTCAACGGAATGGGATCTGCTCCTCACACTTGGGCGCCTCACATGCACATCCATCATGCATTGGGAACATCTCCCACGAAAAATAACTTACAAGCATGGGAGATGTTCCCAATGCATGGTAGGATGTGCATGTGAGGGACCCTATGTGAGGAGCAGATCCGGTCTCCCATTCAACCACCCAATGAAATACAAGCAGATCAGCCATGAAAATTAAAAACAGTTCATGTGATGTTCTTTTGAATTTATTTCCGTCATGATCTATTTATATTTCATTAGAGGGCTACAAGTAGGGGTGGTAATGAGTTGAGTTTTTCACGGGCTGCAAGTCAGCTCGGCTTGTGAGGCTCACGAGCCGACTCGAATATATATATATATATATATATATATATATAATAAAATTATAGAAAATAATATATAATAAAAATATTATATTTATTAATTATTATAAATCTTAATTTTTTAAATATCAAATAAAAATATTTTTATATATAATTTTTTATTAGTCTCGAACCGAGCTTGAGCCTCATACTATTCAGCTCGGTTCGGTTCGAATCCACCCCTAGTTGCAAGGGAGTGGTGTGCCATAGTCGTAGGATCGCAGCATATGTGCTAGGTCTCAAGAAAAAATTAAGAAATGGTTGGAAGTAGAGATGCCAAGAGTTCAGGTTTGGCATGGGTTTGCCTCAATCCTAACCCAACCCGACCTTCCTTAAAATATATAATTCCAAACCCAACTCGATCCTATAGGGTCTAACTCAATACTAACCCGACTTGACTCGTAGCATTTCAATTGTGTTTTTTTAACACATTTTGAAGACCTAAAATTCATTAATTTAAGTTAGAAAATTGTTTTATAAAATCTAAGATGTCACTTTTCTCATTTAGAAAAAGAAAAAAAATCAAAACCAACATGTAAATAAATCTTAAACTTTAAAGCTATAGAGTTAAAAATCAAAAAGTTATAAAAATAATTTATATATATATATATATATAATGTATCATGACTCAACAGGACGAATCAGCTAAAACCAAAACCTAACCTAACCCTAAAGCCAAACATATTAGCTCTAACCCGACCCTCAAATTGGGTTTTATCATTTAACCCACCCATTGGCATCCCTAATTGGAAGCCATAATAATATCAAGAGCTTAGGATTAGGTAGACGATGATTCAACCTTCAGCAAGTAGAAAGACCGGAGAGGCACACAATAGAGTACAGTTAGAAGCCGTGATGAAGACATCCCTCAGAGGATGACTCCAAATCTATTTGGGATGTGGGGCTCCATGTGCTACCCCAGAGCTGTGTTGCCTCTCTGTCATTATCCTGTTTTATGAAAAAAATAAAAAAATACTAGTGTGTTTATTTGTGATTAGTCACTAGCCTGTTAAACATGTCACAGCAGAAGGGCAGATAAATTTGTCTTTTTAGGATATGATGTTAAGAGTCCCGATATGCTCTCCTCGCACCAA